GGGTTGCAGCTTGCGCGACCGCCTCAGGTGACTGCCCCCTCAGACTCCCTGGGCTTGCACGACCGCCTGGCCTCTCAGACGCCCTGGGTCGCCGCCCCCCTTGCCGCCTGATCCGCGGCCCCCGCGCGCGCCCGGGAATTTAGTCGCGGCCGCAGCCCGACCGTGATTGCTCGCCGCCGGCGCTTCCGCCTGCGGCCGCAAACAAAAAAAATGCCCCCGCCAGCCTCCCGTGGCTAGGCGCGGACGCCAAGGCCCAGGATCGCTTCGCCAAGGCCGGAGCGACAAACTTCCTTGGGTCTAGCGCCGCGGGTGGTGCTGCCTCCGCGGCCGAGCGAGCCCCCAGGTCCCTAGCGCAGCTCATGGAGCTCCTGCCAGAGCTGCCAGTCCCGCAGGGCCCGCTCCTGGACAGCAGGGACGTCAACAACCCCACGCTGAGCCCAAACGACCCCAGGAGCGGACCGGGCAGCGGAGGCCCGTCCGCACAGCGACTCCTGGTGACCTACCTCCGTGACTTCCACCCTGGGCTGGACTACACCTGGAGACAGTTCTGTCTCACTAACCGCGACAGCAGCATCCCAGAGCCTAGGAGTGACGAAGCCTCCTGGCCGGGCGGACTTCTGACTGAGTTCCTCAGGACGGCGCGCGGCGAATGCATCCCTGAGGATTGTGTCCCGCTCAACCAGCGTTGGGAGGGTAAACGGCTGGCCGCGGCGCGAGTCGTCGCCCACCTCACCAACGGCGAGAAGCATAAGGAGTCCTGGGAGAGGCACGCCTCGATCCTGGCCCCGGCGAGTGGCCTCAGTCCCATCGGACACGAAATGGGCACACTGACGAGTTTCCTACTCAGCCTCAGCGCCGATGCCCTCGCCTCGACGACCATCACTTCCTTGGCCGAGTCACGCGCGCAGACCATGAGTGAGGACAGACCTGGCACCCCTACGGCGGCCGACGCAGACAAGTCCCTGGGCACGAGAGACGACGACTCGCGTCTGGGTCTCCCGGGCCCGCCCGACCACACTGTCAAGGACGAGAGCGGTGAAGACGTGATCCCTCCTACGGAGAAGGTGGAGTCACCCGACTTTGGAGAACCCCGCGAGTCTCCTCCTCCTGTATCCTGTTCGGACTCTGCCACGGAGGTCGACGACGACGGCTCAGGCGACAAGGCGCCTCAGCGGAGCCCAACGGCAGACAGCTCGGAAACCAGCTCCGACCGTGACCCGATTGCTGCCGGGGGTGGCACGGTTAGCACCGACCAACATGCCAGTGAAGCCCGGGGATCTGATTATGATGAGAACGCCCGCGACAGGGGCGACGTGCGGAGCCGTCGTCCCCCACTTCGCAACCCGCAGGTCCCTGGACATAGACCCACCTGCCCTCGTTCAACGGAGCGCCACACGCTCAACCTGTTGACCGACTCACACGGGGGCCCCATGTACAAGGTCTGGCTGGGCACAGTGGACTTGGAGCGTCGCGATGAGCCACGCGCCAAACGCCTCGCCAGGTACCAGTCGGAGTTGGGTGCAGTATTCTGCGCGCTGTGGACCGCCTACACGCAGCGCGTTTGGCTCCCTGGATCCAGGGAGCCCAAATCAGACCCGAGGCTGCGCACGGAAGCGACCATCAACAAGTTTCTGGACGACTGGAAGGGCTGCGGGTACAACGCCTACTTGATGGACACGAGGTTCGACTACCGCATTGATTGGGCCAAACTGCGGGCCGAGCACCTGCGTCGCACCCGACCCGACGGCAAGGGCAAAGGCAACCTCCAGCAGAGCAGCTGGCGAGACCGCGCGGCAAGCTCCTAGGGCACCTGGGGCACCTGGCAGAGCGACTGGAGTGACGGCTGGCACGACGACCGTTGGCAGACGGGAGGCAAGCGTGGTGGAGGCAGACCTGACGAGCGAGGCGAAAAGAGGCACCGATGGGGAGGCTGAGCTCCCTTCCCATCCATCCAGCACCTAGGCAGCCAGAAATGTCAATCTTATTACGCACTATGTGCGGCCTTCAGCTGCCTTCCGTGCTCTCTCAACCGTGTGGCAGCCTCGCTGCCTCCTTCCCTGGTACACACACTTCCTGCCTTTGGACCCAAGTGTGTCGACCAGCAATACCATCTGCTTCGCTGCGTGGTGGAGCGTAGCGCGCAGACCCTAGTTGGCCCCTGGCCCCGCTGTAGTTGTTCCCACCAGTGGCCCGAATGGTCCTGTGCTCGGCTATGCCGCTTCGGGACCGACCGAGGCCCACTCCCGAGACGTGCTTATAACCCTGGGTTTCTCTATCAGACAGCGGCCTTCAGCTGCTCCTTGGACTACAGACCCAGCTTGCGGCATCCTGCCGCCCCTCCTGGCACCTGCGCTTCCTGCCTTTGGATCCAAGTGCGCGTGCGTGTGTGTGTGTGTGCCAGCAATACCGTCCACATTGCAATCTCGTGTTGCGTGTGGCCATAGTGGCCCCTGGCCCCACTGTAGCTGTTCTCACCTTGCCAGGCCCTGCCTGGCGCGCAGCTCTGTGGCCGACGACCTGGCGGTTTTCGCCCCGTCCCCAGATCTGCGCCTCTACTCCCTGGGATCTTCAAGTTACTACGGCCTTCAGCCGTGCATCTCTACTTCTCCTGGGAGCGACGCGGGACTCGGAGGTGCAGGCAGTCCATCGTCGTGGGTCGCCCCGCCGTGCTGGCGGAATGCCCACCTGGCCCGCTTGCGCCCTGCACCGACTGGGCCGATGACGTGACCCTGATCAGCGCCGTTCCCACCGTTGCCTTGCGTTACCACCTTGTGGATTGCGCTGCGCGGTCTCGGCGTATGACGGGCACTCGGTCTTTCTTCGTTGCTCCCACGCGCACTTAGTTGTGGAACCCTCCCTGGGACTCTGTGACAGTGAAGGACTTGCTGTCTTGGGTATACGACAGTTGCTGTCCTTCGAGCGCTTTCCTCGACTTGGCTGCGTGGGTCGCTTGGCGCTGCTGTCACTTAGTCGTTCGGTACACGCCCACCTCCGATTGACCTTGTGTCTCACATGGTGGGTACTCGTGTACTCCTGCACTGCGGCATACCAGACCGCTGGTCTTCTGCGCGCAGGCGCATCTCTCAGCAGTTCGGCGTTTGCCTTTGTCGGTTCGGCCTCAGGCTCACCCTATCTGCCGCGGATGCGTTCTCTGAAGCTGCGACGGTTCGCTGGCGCTGTCAGAATCCCCCTCCTTGCTGGACGACGTCAGCCAGTTTCGGTCTGCTCATACCCGTCAGACTCCCTGGACTGACTATATAGCACGGAGTTTGGTTCCCACCACCGCGGTTGTCGCTAGGCACGACCACGACTGGGAACGTACGGCGCGCCATTTTGGCCGCGCCTGGCTTGCTCCTGGGTGACTGACCCCTCAGACCCCCTGGGTTGCAGCTTGCACGACCGCCTCGGGTGACTGACCCCTCAGACTCCCTGGGTTGCAGTTTGCACGACCGCCTGGCCTTTCAGACGCCCTGGGTTGCTGCCCCCCCCGCCGCCTGATCCGCGGCCCCCGCGCGCGCCCGGGAATTTAGTCGCGGCCGCAGCCCGACCGTGACTGCTCGCCGCCGGCGCTTCCGCCTGCGGCTGTGAAAAAATATATCCCCACCAGCCCGTCCAGAAACGACGCCCAGGCGAGTAGAGGGTCGTCCTGAGGGGCTTTTCGGCGTCTTGGGTGCCTCGGTGCCTCGGGGGGGCCTCTTTGGGCCGTTTGGGATCCTCTTGGGGGCCTCCTGGGGGCCTCTTGGGCCATTTTGGGGCCATCTTGGGGCCTCTTGGTGCCTCCTGGGCGCTTCTTGGGGCCATCTTGGAGGAAATCGATCAAAAAAGAGTGAATCCTGGGGGCCAAAATGGGGCCAAAACCTTGGTAAAATCAATGATGTTGGCTTCCTCGGCGAGGCCGTTTTGGACGCTCTGACCGCTCCCCGCCCCCCCTGTCCAGGTCAGCGGGGAGGGGGTAGGGGGAGGGGTAAACCCCTCCCCGAAGGGGAAGAAGGAGGGGTGGAAGAGGAAACGCTCTAAACCACCGACGCCCTGAGGGCTGGTGGGATTCGACAGGCACGGGGAGGATTCACGTGTGGTTGCGTAAGGCATGCACTCCCCAGCTGATTGGCCCCGGACCTCCCAGGAGGGTGGCGGTGCACGGATCACAGCGAAAGAGCCAACGGAAATATATTCAGGAGGGAAAAA